GTCTATGGGAATTTAACCCCGCCAGATCCCTATATTGGCATTATAGGTTCGAAGACTAGGAGATGTATAGAGAACCATACCCGGCAAGTAGACAGTCTCATCTCATGAGAGTTCCGTGAACCTTCTCCCTTCCCGAAAGAAGGCATCACTGCTCATAGCTAACCTATAGGTGCTCAGTATAAAGTTCCATTACATTCAACTCATACATCATGGAAGCTGACTTCTAGTATGAGGACATCATAGCTCAATAGATGATTTCTCATCTCATCATTAGTATTAAGTGTTTTAAACTCAATATTTTCATTAGAGTGTTCATAGAGACTGGTCTCTTCATTATCTTACACTCTCATTGGTGAGTACGTATTGGTAACATTTACTTAGGCTTATTTGAGATTGCTCTCATCATATACATTAGCCTCACATCATGATTGTCACCACATTCTTCATTATTAGCACCTTTGTTTTTCATAGTTACTCACCTCTTATTACGTGAATGTTCATTTCTTCATTTCATAGTTGATCTCATCATATGCCAATGCACTTGGCCATTTAGTGTATCTTACATTCGTACTTAACCCTCCTAAGATTCATCATTTCATTACGTATATCTTAGGTTCACTTATTTTTGAATGTATGTTAGACTTATGTGTCTATACATACAAGTCATGGGGCTTCATTCATAGTTCGCTATGTTATTCTTACTTTTCTAAGATTATGTATTACAAGACTTATGTATCTTGTATATATGCTAAGATCTTGATTTTTGATCTATGTAGATGGCATTATTCTTGAATATTTTACTCACGTATGACTTATGTGTAATTACGGAATTGGTCAAGGGAACCCGATATCGAATCCCTTGAACAACACTTAACCTTATTTTAAACTTTGACAATTGCATTTTTCAGATTTGGAAGACCCTAGTTCGATTCCCATCAACCCCATAATATTTCATTCTTGTTCTCCTCCCCTTTTTCGTTTTAAGGCAAGGAGGTTGTGGGTTCAATCCCCCCGCAATCTCATTATTTTTTTCTTTTAATTTTTCTTAATTCTCAACTATCCAAGAGGTTGTGGGTGCAATCCCCACTCTCCACATTTATTTTCTCCTTTATTTTTCTCCTCACACTATCATCCATTCAAGAGGTTGTGGGTTCGATCCCCACTCTCCACATTTTATTTTCTCATTTATTTGTCTCCTAACTCTCTCATCCATTCAAGAGGTTGTGGGTTCAATCCCCACTCTTCACATTTTATTTTCTCTTTTATTTTCCTCCTAACTCTCTCATCCATTCAAGAGGTTGTGGGTTTAATCCCCACTCTTCACATTTTATTTTCTCCTATATTTTCATGGTTTTTAACATGGTGAGGTCATGGGTTCAATCTTCCATGACCTCACTTGTTTTAATTTATTTTTTTAAACATTTTTAATCCTCTTTGCTGACCGAAATTCATCAATAGAAGCTGGAAATTTTCTTTTAATTTTTTCAGCATCCTTGCATCAAGTTACACCTTAGTTCTTAGAGGAATTTCGTAGTGCATTTAGAACGTTTTAGGTGCGTCTTTATGCATTCGTTTAGCCAAGACATGATCCCTCAAATCAGCCACATTTCATCTCATATGAACATCACATTTACATCAACATGTGTACATGAAATATAAAGAACTAGCATGTCATTTCAAGTCCTAAACCATGAATAATAGCCACGACAACAGACACATACACACGTAGTTTACATTTTCGGAAACATAAACATAAGTAACATAATTTCAAACATACATATAAACACATAATCATCATGAAAACACGTTTCATCCCTAGTTTTCTACCAGCAAACATAACCAACCTATGATTCAATGGGAGCTAGTGACAGGGACATGCAACGGGGAACAATCCTAGTTTTCGGAATGAATATTATGAACCTCGAAAGGTCTCTTGGGAAAGGGACCAAGAGAGAAGAGAACCCATACCTTAATCGATGTTCAAACGCTGATGTTGCTGCCCGGAAACTCTCCAACCCACGCCCAATTTACTTCAACACCTCACTCGACGAACCTCTCTTAGCCTTGGCATTTTGCTTATTTTGTCTTTTACTTAAAAATTCTTGTGAGTTCTTCAAGTGTGAATAACTCTTTATGTATTTTAAGTTTTTGAAATTATTTTTGGCAGAAACCAACGAGAGAGGGATATGGAGAACGTGAGAGAGAGAGTGTGTGTGTTATTAGGATTAGGAGACTAAATTTAAGACTTAGTCAATTAGGATTTAAATTAGATTAATACAAATATGATTTATTTTAATTAATACGTGAAAGGACCATTATGACCTTAAAATTTCAGATTTTAAATTAATAATTAAATCACCTTAAGTACCTATTTATTCAAAAAAAAATCGAATCGTTACATCATTGTTGGGAGATTGTTAATCTTCCTTCGGGAAAATAAACCCTTAGGATAAAATGGATCTTTAAAAGGAAAATAAAGTTTGATGATACTATTGACAAGTATAAGGCAAGACTTGTAGTCAAAAGCTTCAAACAAAACAAAGGTCTTGATTACATCAATTCGGATGTTGGTTGCACTAGCAGCAATATATGATCTTAAAATCCATCAAATGAATATATTTAAAAAGTAACTTTTCTAAATGGAGAGTTGGAGGAAGAAATTTACATGGAATGACCCGAGTGATTTGTGGTTCCTCATAAAGAAAGAAAAATGTGAAAACTCATGAAGTCACTTTATGGACTGAAATAAGCACCCAAACAGTGACATGCAAAATTTGACCAAACAATGTTGGAAAAAGAATTTAAGAAGAATGAGTGTGACAAATATGTTTACTTTAAAGACACACCAAATCATAAGGTCATTGCTTTTTTGTATGTGTATGATATGCTAATCATCCGTAAGTCTACTTAGCTGACATAAATGTTACTAAACAAATGCTAAGGAGTGGATTTGAAATGAAAGACCTTGGAGTGGTAGATATTATATTGGGAATAAAAGTTCTTAGAACTCCACAAGGTTTGGCTTAAAAGGTACTTGGCAAGTTTTAAGTATTTGAATTTTAATATTGTTAAGACTCCAATAGATGTGATGTTTTCACTTCGAAAGCGTAAAGGGGAAAGTGACTCACAATTAGACTATGCGAGAGTGTTGGAAAGTTTGATGTACATCATGAATTGTACACGATAAGCTATAACATGTGTTATTAGTAAGTTGAGTCGGTACACGAGCAATCCCAATCAGACTCACTGGATGACAACGAAGAGAGTTATAGGGTACTTAAAACATACTCAAAATTATGCTTTGCATTATGAAAAATATCCAACAATAATTGAAGGATATAGTGATGCAAATTGGATCACCGAATCAAATGAAGAAAAACCCAGAAATGGATATGTGTTTACTCTTGAGGTGAAACAGTTTCTTGGAAATCATTCAAACAGACATGTATTGCTCGCTCCACTATGGAATCTGAATTCATCTCTTTAGATAAAGCCAACAAAGAAGCTAAATGACTTCGTAATTTCTTGGAAGATATTCTGTATTGACCTAAACCATTGACACCTGTATGCATACATTGTGATACTCAGACTGCAATAAGTAGGACATGGAGCATGATATATAACAGTAAATCTCTTCACATAAGACAAAGATATAATACCATTAGAGAACTACTCTCTAGTGAAATTATCACAATTGACAATGCAAGGTCAAAAAATAATATATCGGATCCACTTACAGAAGGCCTAACTAGAGAGGGAGTTGAAAGGTAATCTAAAAGGACGGATTTAAGGCCTAGAACAAATCAAGCATGATGGTAACTCTATTTAGTAGACTGGAGATCCCAAGAGTTAGGTTCAAATTGATCAAATAAAGTTTTGTGTGATGGTCCAACATTGTCAAATAATCCAATCCATTCTCACGATGAAGACAATATTTAGTAACTAAGGATAAAGCTTGTATTGAAGCTTTTTAATGATTTCTATGTTTTGCAAGACATGACAAAATAATTTCTCTAAGGGAGTAAACATTTATGAATCACTTATGCGAGAGTAAAGTGTAAGTCGCTTCAAGGAGAATGTTAGTAAAGGTCGATTCTCTAAGCTTCATGAAATCAGAAAGTGTTCATGGCTAAAACGAACAAAACTGTGAGAACCATATATGGTTAAAGGATGGTTAAGTAACTTATATTGTCTAAGTGTACATTCAAGTTCGACGGTTCAAAGATATCACATCTACCGATTGATCGAGTATATCCAATATAAGTTCACTATGTAAAGTTCAAAGGGAAACTCACTTACCACGATGCAACTAGTCTTTGTTTGTAATCACACACTAGTCCGTGTATATCTATCTTTCGTGTTATAGTCATTTCCATTCCTGTGTGGGGTTGTTGAGTTCACTGTATAAAGAATGGTGAATTAAAAATGTGAAAGTGTTGCAAGTATGAACTTATTCCATTCATGAATACTAATGAAAGATGAATGCAAGCTTTCGTATTTTAATGCAACCTTTCATATTTCTAAACTACCTTTTCATATCATCGATGATTCATTATGATTGCCTATAGGCTATAAATATATTATTTCTTTCTCATATATTGACATAAGTTTTTTGAGTTAAATGTTGAAACAAAGTTTACAAAAAGAAAAACACTACATCGTAAGAAAAAAAAATTCTACATTTCCAAAATCCTAAAGTGTAATTACAAGCCATTGAGTGATTCGCTAGACAACAAATTTGAGGTACCACTATTTTTTTGTCGTTAGTCATTTTATCCTGGGAAGGTATATTCATAACCTCGGTACTTGAGGGAAATAATTTTTTAATAAAACTCGGTGAATTCAGAGGACTTGAATCTTGTTCCTTTCTTCTTGTTGATTTTATATTTATTTTGTTTCCAAATTTATTCAACTTCATATTATATATTTCATTATTTGTATGAAAATTGATTGAAGTTATTTTGTTGGAAAAACAAATTTTGCACAGCTAACTAGCAATAAGGGTATTATCTATGTCCATGTTTTCTCTTTGTGTTCATAACTCAATTTCTTAAAGAAGAAATGCAGTCAACAAAACATTAGTCTTTCTAGCAACAACTCTTATTATATTAGTGCACTGCTCAATCTATCTTCCTACTAAAATTCCCATATAGAAGTAGCAATCTCAGCTTCTGATTGAGTTCCATCTATGTTTATGCTTCCACAAGTCTCTGGATCAGAGAGAAGCTGTTCAAGGACATGATTTTCTCCTGAATAGCTTTCGAAATTCTTCTGAATACCACCACAAGCAGTAAATTGTGCATCATAATTGTTGAAGCTCTTCTGGATCTCCATGTTCATCCAATCATGTGGAGAAATCTCTTCTTCTTTAGCTATCCATTCTTCACGTGGCAGCGTTTGTGCTTCAAGTTGGTCCTCACAATTGATACTTTCTTGGTCATTCAAACCACCATTTTCGCGATACGGACACCTTGTGTCATGCTCAAAGTTGCACTTCCTCTTGTATTTTCTCCTCCGAGCAGACTTATCGATAAATACATTCTTGTGAACCAAAGAAAGATCTTCTTCCTTATGAGATGATGAGATCTTGAGAGACTTGTCGGTTAAATTGACAAGAGCTTCTTCTTGGTTAACCAATTTAGACCAAGTGGCTGTTTCTTTGGCTGTCATCTTATTTTGTAAGCTCCTGGACTGTGTCACAAACCTTCTCATTCTATCTAAATTGGGAGTCATATTCTTGATGATTGCAGCCAAAACAGTTATCTTCCATGCCTTCTTGAGATCATGAGGCTTCCTATAAGGTGGTGGACCTTGTTCTTGAGATAATCCCTGATCACCCCACCAGAGCTCCTTCCCTGTAGGCCACCAAGGTGGGGCTAATCCTCTTTCTAAAGGGAAAATCCTTTGTGGAGGGTGGCAATGTTGCATGAGGGTAGAAAGGAGTGTGCTTAAAGTACCATCTCTCAAATCTTCCAAGTGATGAATATGTGAGGAAGTATCCAATATAATGTTGTCCTCTACTAATTTGGGCAAGAAATCAGCAATGGCAGCAGGGGCACTCTGCTCAAATCTCACCTTCTCCTTCCACCATTCTCTTAAACTATCCGATGATCCGCAAACCGGTTTCCCCTTTTCCCCCACTATTCCATATACAAAACCTTGACCTTGGCAAACCTCCATGATCTTAACCATGTACTTGAGAATTGAATCTTGAGCTCTTGACATCTTTTTGCGACGAGATTGTTCTTCTTGCTTAGCTTCTGTTTCATCACTATCATCCTTAGACGAGCTCATGTCTCGCTTTGCTTTGAGCTTCTCTAACTTCATCCGGTCCTTCCACATCCGTTTCTTCAGATCATTGTAGCTGATATTTTCTTCAACTTCTAACAACTCTCTCATAGGATCACCCCAAGGCTCAACAATTTCATCAACTTTCACCATGATACTAAGTGATCTCTTCACTTGTTACTATTTAAAATATGCTGAGGATCAAGAATTTATCAATTTATAGTGGTGAAGTATGGCGGTGAGTTGAGGCGGAGCTAACTTTGGGTTAGGACAAACCAACTAGTTTTCCCATTATCCCTATGGATTCTATATTTAAATTAGAAAATTATTAAAAAAGAAATTGTTGGAATTCTGACCTCCAAATTTGTCTTAGGAATAGGTTAATTCTATATGTTACTTTGAGAAATTACAGCAATTAGTTTTCCCATTATCCCTACGATTCTATATTAGAAAATTATTAAAAAAGAAATATATATATCTACACATTAAATTGTGAATCCTTAATAGGATTGATTAACGATTTAGTGATAAGGAAATGATTTTCATACTAATTTTACGGATTTAAACTTTAAACTCCACTGCTAATATAAGTTTCTCTTTTTTCTAAAAGGAAGCGTATTTTTATTTTCTATCCTAATATTCAGAACCCCAAACTTTTAGTTTTAACTCCGTCTCTAAAAATTAGAAGGTTCTAGAGGGAACACAAGATGACTCTTCAAAAGAGTGAAGGAATAAGGATGATGTATGGGTTGCGGAAATGACTATTGGTGTCATAAGCAAAATGTTGTAGTGATGCAACGACAAACAGAGCTATGTCATATTCACGTTGCATGAATGAGACACATGATTTTGAAACTAAATGAGAAAAAGAATAGAGAGACATACAACTAATTCTTTTTAGTTCTGTTATACTTGGCTAAACATCCTCTTGTTTGTTCTCTGTTCAATATTAGCTGATCATTATAATAAAATTAGTTGTTTTATATTAATTTTTTATGATATTCAATTAAAAAAATATGGATTGTCTTTTTTTCTATATTACCCTCAGCAGCTAGTTCCTTTAATATCGAAGACATCCAAATTTGTTTGAAAAATTTATAAAAAAACTTTAAGAAATAAATTAATAAAATTATCTTCTTATTTATATTTTAAGTATTGTGTAAAATAAAAACTGATTACTAATATGAGATGGAGATATTCTCAACCAATAATGTGGTTAATTTGACACAATTGCCCATTCTCTGCCTTTCCTCTACTTATAAATATCAAAGTTTTTGAAAAGGGAAAACATTCAACTAGCTATGGAACTTTGAGAAAAAACTCATTTATTTCATTTATTTAACATTTGATTCATTAATGTTATTTTAATTTGAAAAAAAACTCATCTATGTCATTATTTTTTAGCTAAAAAACATTCCTATTTTGCAAAACTATTTTTACATGTATCAATTATGATTCTGTTATACATTGATCAAATCATGTTTTAAAGAGAAAAAACTCAAATATGTCATCGAACTTAAAGCAGTGACATAGCCACATATTGGTAAGGGTGTCCAATTGGACACCTTGGTCGAAAAAAAGTATCATATATATAAGTAAAATGATAAACGAAATGATTAAATAACATATTTTGGACACCCTTAATATAACAAGTTGTTATTTTTGGACACCATTTGTTAAATTCCTGGCTCCGTCACTGAATTAAAATGATATAGATGAGTTAAACTTTAAAGAAATGACATAAATAAGCCTTTTCTCAAAATTCCGATGACATTTTTGAGTCTTTTCTTCTTCTTTTTTTTTTTTGAAAGTTTTGTAAGTTAAGAATTGCATTTAAATATACATCTCGCAAAGAATATTTACTTATTTGAATATATTTTTCTTTTTTTAAAACAAAAATGAAATATGAGTTACACCCCTAATTGAAAACTAGCGAAATACCAAACTTGATTACTTTACTTAAAACATACTACCAAATATGCTCTAAAAGAGTAATATCTTATATAATGAATAGTCACGTTATATCATAAACTTAAATATCAAAGAGAGAATATTTTTATTTAGTTAATGGTTTATTAACCTATAGTACAATAAATAAAAAATATTTCACTAATTCAAAAGTCAAGATTAAATTACAAGCTTTTCTCAAGTTATAATACATTATCACTGTCCATTCTCAAAAAGTTACATGTAGTTCCAATTTCATGTATACATTTAATATGGAATGAGTTCTTTTGATGGCTACATATAGCAAGAACAATGTACTCAACAATATAACACTTGACATGATTAAAATGAAAATCAATTTAAGCATGTTGAGTTAACACCAAACAATATAAAAATTTTGCACTTTTTTTTTTAAAAAAAATCCTTGAAAATTATTACTTGACAACGCTTAAAACTCTTGCTCTATGATTAGTCCGTGAACAAAACAAATTAATGCGGAGATAGTGAGGTCTTTTTCTATTAAAAAAAATTAGAGCGAAATTTGAAAATAAATAAATAAATAAATGCAAAATCAAAAATCGAGACGGAAAAAAGTGAAAACAAGTTTTGAGATGTTTTTCAAATTCCATATATAACTTGAATATGAAATTGTACAGTGGTAAATACTGATTTTCAAATAAAATTAGAATAAATAATATTTCATATTTGTCACGACCCAAAACGAGCCGCGAGTGGCACCCACACTTATCCTACTATGTGAGCGAACCAACCAATCTAAATCCCAACATTTCAACCATAATAAACAGAATATAATGCGGAAGACTTAAAACTCATTAACAAAATCAATTAAATAACTTCTAAAGTTTATCAATTACTATCCCCAAAACCTAGAAGTCATCATCACAAGAACATCTATCCTCAAATTACTAAATCTAAGAGTATCTAAGAAGCTAAAATAAGTAAAAGAGATGGTCCATGTCCGAACTTCAAGACATCAAGACGTGAAAGAAAGAATCCAGCCCGAGCTAGGAACAATAGCTCACCCTGAAATCTGATTATGCTGAAGTCTGGCTAGAGTTGCGGTTGAGTCAAAGTCGATGGCACGTTTGTTGCACTCCACAAATAACAAAGAAAGAAACATACAAGTAGGGGTCAGTACAAGGCACAAGTACTGAGTAGGTATCATCGACCAACTCAAAATAGAAAGCAATATATATCAGATAATAACATAAAATCGACTACCATACTCAACAGATAACAACAACAAGTACCATAACCATTGGCCACAACCCAAGCACATCTATCAGGACTCACGCCTCCACACCATACTCGTTTGGGAAATAGGTTCTTTAAATCTGAGTATATTAACATAATTCAAGATTCATTCTTTTTACTATCCTGGAGTCGGAACGTGACACTCCGATCCTCTACTACTATCCTGGTGTCGGAACGTGACACTCCGATCCTCTACTATCCTGGTGTCGAAACGTGACACCCGATCCTTTTCTATCCTGGTGTCAGAACGTGACACCCGATCCACTACTACTATCCTGGTGTCGGAACGTGACACCCGATCCTTTACTATCCTGGTGTCGGAACGTGACAGCCGATCCACTACTACTATCCTGGTGTCGGAA